GTTTACACGGTACAAATCGATTGCGGTGACATTCCAACGCTGATAAGCAACATTACATCTTTTCTGACTTATTTAATTATCGGCCATTGGAACGCACTCTTCGTGGAAGGCATAGCGATTGTCACGCGGCCTCAACTGCCTCTCGAGAGATCTCGGAAGATATATCAGGACTTCTGTTGCAAACAACCTGATTACAGGGAGCGGATTTTCATGTAAATAATTCTTTTTTACAGGACCAAGATGCCTGCATGCATACCAGCACACCAAGACAGTGTATTTGGTACAGATATTGCTGAAGCTAAAAGAACTACAACAAATGTTTACTATACGCGCAAGTTTTCTTGATATTCCACAGCGGCGGGTGCGGGGAGAGGAGGGTCTAGCTTAAAGGGCTTAAAGGACGTACCAACTGTGAGCATGACCTTAACTCGCCAAAATGTGCCACGTGAAATGCTACGATGGTTTTCAAATTACGAGATGGTTGTTGCCAGCATTGTAGATTGGTGTGTGCCGTTCCAAATCGAACCTAAGTATCTCTACGTGCCGTGCTATTCAGCGCTGAGTGAGGTCTAGGGAGGTCGTGTAGCAAGAAAATTTGCGCGAGTAATACCAATATCATACCAAGAAGACTTCGAGGTATGTGGCAGGAATAAATTAAATATAAAATGGCACACAACATGTCAAAATGAAAAATCGAGAAAATTTCATAAAGATATATCTAACGTCATTGTTCTTTAAACAAATCTCTCAATTTATCATCAATAACAAATTGCTCTGTCAAAACTTAGGACAAATCACTTACAAATTTAAAAAAAATTGATATTTCCACAGACTTGTGATTACATTTAACTAATGTATTAGTAGCTCATGGCCTTTTCTAGTTTATGCGACTTAAAACAATAATAAATTAAAAATTGTCTACATTCAATAAAATGTTATAGAGTTTACCACACTTACTGAATGAATTAAAATCATTTTGTATCTTAGATGTATTGGTATATTTACATACTGTATATTTACATATTTCCTTACATATTTATATATTATATGTCAACAAAGAATATTTTATATAAGAGTTTGCTAATATAAAGTTATCGCAATCGGCTGTTTTACAAAGCAATGTAATACTGTCCTTATAAGACCATCGTACCATCGCTTCCTACTGGTTCTTGGAAACCGCGTACTCAGAACCAAGGATGAGCTTGCGCCGCAGAAGTAATCCCGCCCACGTGCTTGCTCATGTTTCACAGAGCCCTTTGGTAATTCGTTCGAAATCCGACACTTTTAAAAGATCTTTGTCTTATCGCGAAGTTGGATGGCGGGGGGGGGGTGCATTACTTTCTTTAACCCCCCTCTCCGGGATCCATCACTGGCTGTCACGGTATTATACGCGCACGTTTTCTTGAGTCCCGGAATACTTATCCCCACTCCTTTGCTAACATTGGTTGAATTTAGAATAAATGGTAGGAACGAGCGTTGTTGACGAAATTTGGTGTCAGAAATATTCACACTTGAATAGTAGAAAGTACTTTGAAACGAGAAACGAACTACATATTAGATATAATAGTCCTGTCGGTAAAATAATCAAACCTCCCACTCTTGTTGCACATATCGAAACTAGAGCTCAAAACGTAGGCTCTATGGTGGATAATATGGCTACTGTTTACGCGTGCAATGGCTCCTCATAAAAACTTTGCATGCGGACGGATTTTATGTTTCTGATAAATCATGTTTCTGTGGTGAAGACTTGTTTGCAATTACTGTAAAGATATAATTTTTTTCAGTCACTCTGAGCCCAGTTTAAGACCTGATCGACAGTGTTTGCACGAAAATATGCTTAAAGGAGTCGTTTTATGTATTTTCTACTTATTATTATCATTATTGTTATTATTATTATTATTATTATTATTATTAAATTATTAGTATTGAAAAGATACTTTTATTTTTAACATTTTGTATTAGCGATAGATTTGGAGTAATTCGTGTAGATCTACAAATTTTGTGTCTGTCAAGTTCTTTTATCTTGAAAAGGGGACGTTCCAAGCACTAGAAGTAAAGTCGAAAATTCGAAAAATGTTTGTTATACTATGTTCATAACCAACCAAACTCTGATTAATTACATATTTCTTAATACCCCATCTTTGAACGCTTTCTTCCTTTGAACACATTATTGTCCTTTGAAGGAACTTTAAACCCTTCACTGAAACAAACTTGACACAAATGCACGAAATTAGTAGACTGTTGTCAGAAAATTAAACTCAAAGTTCAAACTCACATTGAAACTACGGAAAACGACTGTCCTTGTGCCCGCAAGTTACCCTCTGTCGTTCTTCGCTTTCCTTGCCCGATCTCGAAAGTGGTTTCGTGAACGGGGTCAAGTTAAGGAAAAAGACCCAAAGAAACCCATTGATATATCATTGAGGCTAGTGATATAACAAGTTCGATGAAATACTTATCATATACCTGAAAGTGAGCATTTTCAGCCGAGCATACACTTAAACAAAATAGGATTTATCCAATTTTTCGTTGCCAGGGCCCGACAATATGAGTTTTTCAATCAAGAATTCGCCGTTTTAAGGCACACGATTACAATACTTTCCCTCTTACCAAGCAAGAGCACGGAAGTTAAAAGAAATACATTAATGGTATTCATTATTAGAAAAGTCAATAGCTGAACACTTTTCTGGCTGCCATTGAAACATATTTAATAACAAATAGTGTTTTTAAAAGGCAGAATGTATAAAATTGTTAAATGAAGTTAATTTTCCTTTATTTCTAAGTTCAAAATTTTCTAACCAAGAATTCTATTTTTTTACTTATCATTCTTATGTACACTAATGTTTAAAATTGAATTGCATGACAGAATTTATTCAAAATGAATATTGCTTCTAGTTTCGTCTCTCCGTCAGATCTTCAAATAGACCACTCACCCATTACCAGCAAAACAGTCGCAGTTGTGTATACTTCCGCAATAGCACATCAGTTACATGTGTTGAATGTCTTATCACTAACTTTCCCTAATAGGCGGACATCCGTGCCATTCATTTCCGCTGCACTCCTTAGGAAGTTCTGTGAATTAAAAAAGTCCCCGAACCATATACCAAGAACACTTTACGATAAAAGAACAAGAATAAAAATGAAATGATCTGCGTTACCTCTTTTAGGTACATATGATGTAGTATAAATAATACTGAACTATGTATATTCGTTCACTAATAAAGATATATTTAAAAAAAAACAAAAAAAAACCTCTTTTAGAGAACTGAACCGGGAATACGAGTTTAGACCCATGGTGCAAATCCACGCTTTTCCTCTAGAAAGAATAACAAATAAACGCTTCTAGTACCGATCATTCGAAACATTCATAAAATGCAATGGATCGTTTTCAACGAGCGTTCATGTATCAAAATTCCATTCTATTTGCTGTAAAACGAGTTCCCATTGAAGCATGCTCCTTAGAGTCTTTGCGACAAAACGTGCTGGGCATAATGTTGCGAGAATATTATAATAAATGTCTTATTTGTTTACCAAATAAATTATACATACTTCCATTAAAGAGGACATGAATCATACTAATCGATATTGGGAATGTCCACTAACTCATATTTAATATCGTCAAGAAAGCTCAGTACGAATGTTGGGAGTAGGTTGGAAGTATATTCAGAATTAGCACGTGCTCAAAGACCCTCCCCCCTTTGATAGAGGTCTACATTCCTTCTCTATTTAATATGATGAGGAAAGGTGACGAAATACGCCCTTTCATAAGAAACTATGGAGACAAAAGCCCGTAAGTGTATTGCTGATGGATAGGAAATTATTTCCGGTTCGTTATCAAAGAGATTTAAGGTAAAAAAATACACGTTCTTAGATTATGACATATTTCGGAAATCACGTGGATATAACACCCATGATGCACATTACTCTGTAACTCACTATTCCATCGTGAATAACTAGGCGTCCAAAGAACACTAAAAAACGTTTTCGAGTCCCTGCAAAACATATTAATATTTTTTTTAATATCACCATTTTCTTTAAAAAAAATTGAAAGTTCGCTAGCTCCATAAAACGGATTTTCAATACTGCTGAACCTTGGGTTCAAGTTTAATGCTACTTTCACTTTTAAAACAATTATTTAAAAATTGATTATATTGAAGACTGCAATATTTTCCAAAAAACGTTGAGGCTTTTCTATTATATTTTTTTCTTCTTCTAAGTACCCGAGCTATTCAGAAATTTCTGTATCATCTGTCAGGAAAGTAACTGAACTTGTGTGGTGTAGTGAAATATGCAGGGAATGTCGATCCCCAATTATGCTTCTTTAAACAGTATTATACTTAATGAGACGCTTTTGAAAGTTTTAAAAACACTTTTGAAGATCTCGCTACGCACATCTTACTGCACAGCTAGGTCTGAACTGAGCAGAACTTGGAAATATAGAAGCGTCAATAGGGTTGTCATGTCGGCACTATGTCTCAACGTAAAGTTCAAGGTCTGGGAGTTTAAGGTCGTGATCCGTACGAAGATATATTCACTTATAAAAAAATATATTTTACTAAGTGCTGAATGTTTCCAATGGGCCCGGCAAGTAACGTTTTATTAAGCTATATTTTATATTAGTTTCCAAATGTGTATATTTTCATAACTGTTTTAATTGCATCGATCGTAGTTTAGTTCAAAATAATTTTGTTTATGTATATTCAATATTTCAATGTTGCCGCTATTTCAGGTCCTTGAAAATGTTAATCCGACCCAGAATGTGGGGATCCAAAAGATTTGTCTCAATCATCGTCATTGATGAAACTAGTTTTGAGTTTTGGCCTGTCACAGACATAAATGTAAAATCTGCCCTCCTCTTTTCTTGTAATTCATTCACAATTGAGACATAGTATAGAAGATAATTTCTGACGTGAAATGTCGGTTACGCCTCAATTGTAATTGTGTAAATGTAAATATTTAACTGGTTAGGCGGAAGAGTAGGCCTTACGGCCTGAGCCTCGCTCCTAATAAAGACGTTTATTATTGTTATTGTTATTGTTATTGTTATTGTTATTATTATTATTATTATTATTATTATTATTATTATCATCACGTGAGCATTCATGTGCAGTACTCATAGCTCCTCAATTTACTAGTTTGAATGCTCTCTTCAAGAGCTTCAATCCACAAGAGAAAAACTCCATAATCACCATAAAATTAGTCCTTAACATTTCATTCTGAACGACCGGATCTAGGACTTCGTTCAACTTCCGACATAATCACCATTATGTTTAGAGAAATCATTAACAATACATTTGAAAAATATAGTATGACATCTGAGTTCTCGTGCAATTAATTTGTTTTTAGATCGAGTTCCGATTACGATACTGTCTTATCGAGTAGAAAACAAAGAATTTAGTAAATTCGAATAAGTTCATAAAATACGTTACATGCAGGATGTGTTTAAATAGAACTCATTTGAACTTTCTTCTGACCTTCTGGAAATATTTCGAAGAACGACGTTTGAATAACACGTTAACTCTCGCCCCGACAATAAAGTAGTATTAAACAGTGTTTTTGTAGTTATGATGTTAGTTATGATTATTATTTCGCCGAGTAACATCTTAATTGTAAAGTAGAAAGTAATAGTACAAAGGAAATAATAGTGCAAATAAATAGTACAAACATATACGTTTGACGAATGAGCTAAATTTAAAAAAAAGTTTCAATCAAGCAAATCTTAGGTTTCAATTTTAGAAGACGTGCGTACGGAACCTTCGAAAAACATGACGTGAACTGAAGTAAAAGTCCCGATTACGACAGAATAAATCCTAGAAGCATCCGATCTTCAACGCGAACGTGTTGACATAGTTGCTATCCACCCAATCTGGACTCTTCCTTTCCTTGGCCAAGCACACTTCCGCCTCCTCACTTCCGGCAGCCGCACGTACAAAAAAGCGTCGATCGGCGGCGCGGCGAGGGCACTGGGTGGGGCGCGACCTCGCAGATAAGACGCCGCTTCGTCCCCGCTCGTGATAGCACGCGCGGCCGGCGCCTCCGCTCCCGCTGGGCGGCAGTCACGCGCACGCCACCGCACGACGATGGCCCAGCCGCCGACGCGAAGTGGCACGGCGCCGAGGGGGCGGGCCGGCTCGTTATCGCACCTGCACCTCCCACGCGCCTGCCTCTGGCTGCTGGTGACGTCGCTGGTGGCGGCGCAGCTGGCGCGAACCGCAGTCGCCGCCCCCGCCCGCGCCACCGCCCGCGCCGCCGCCGCGGCGCCCCAACCCGCCGCCGCCGCCGCCGCCAGCGGCAACGCCGCCACCGGTGCCAACGTGCACACGGCCCGAATCATCGACACGCCCACGCTGCCCGTGGCCTGCCCGCGCGGGATGCGAGCTGTCGGCCGCCGCTGCCGTAGGGTCTTCTGACCAGGTGAGCACCCGCCCGCGCTCCGCCACGCAACAAAACAGAACCTACTATAAATAGGTTTCTACATTTCACATTTCTTTTTTTTTTTCTTTCTTTTTTTTCTTTTCTTTTCTTTTTCCTTTACGATCATCACCAACACTTTTTTACAGTCCATTCAGAAACACCTTGCTAGACTAAAAGTGTATTTATTGGCACTATATTCATTGGGTTCCACTGTGGTGGTTTCCTGAGCGTGACAGCTCGTTGGCGCAACGACGCTATCTTCTTGCACTCAATGCGGCCTCCCGTTATCTCTTCATTTACGAGAGGCTTCGTTGGGAACTACGCCCGTGGTAGAAGGGGCATTACAAACTTGTGGCAGTGACAGTGAGCTCCGTTTGTTGTCTTAACGTTCACTCTTATCTTTATTTTAGGTTCCATTTTTGCAAAGCATATCCCTGTTAGCGCCCACGAAGAGTTCCCTGCGCCATTAACAGTACTATGCTGATATCTGTGTTACTAATTTTCAATGCGCGCAGAAATTGAAAGAAAACCACAGAGTTTCCAGTCAAGGTGTCTCCGTTTAAGATAACCACGGACAAGGAAAAAGATACAAAAGCAATTAAATAATGTCGATTATGACTTAAAATGCATGATTGTGTTTCGTTTGTTCTCATAATGTGCGTACCGACAGAATATTCATTATTAATACCTCCCTACTGACAACGCAGCTGATACCATGCGACAACAAGTCTCCAGGGAAGAAGTCGCCCGCCATTAAATACATATTAGGAACTCACGAGTTCTGTAATAAAACAACAAAAACCTTTAAAAAAATTGTGTGTAAAAAACTGTTCTATTGGAATATTCGTGAAGGCTGTTCTTGCTAAAATATTTAATTTGTTGTAGGGTTCAAATGAAGTATTTTATTTGTTGTTCTGGAGAAGGGCGTGTGCTACATGTTGGAAAACGAATTTGTATAGTTTCGTTCGCAGCATTATTGCTGCTGCATGCCACTAGCTTAAAATATCCAAAAAGTGATAATTCGTGAACCCGTCACCCCATCAGATCACGGTCTAAAGAAGAATTTTAGCGGCCGGCATCTCTGAGAGCTTTTCGTGGTTTCTCCGATCAATACCAGGCAAGTGTTTGAGTAGAACCCTAACACCCGACCGTGAACTGTTTGCGATATATTCGCCTTTATCATTGTCTCATCCTTTCCCCGTACACACACGTACTTGAACTACACTATCATACATACGAGAGTTCAGTTGGGAGCCTAGACCTTGTCAAGGCTGAGATGATGCCCCGCTGAAGACGAAAACCAAGTAAATGGACGTGCCGGTCACTGACGGATCTCCCGACACACTGGAGTGGAATATCGCCCCTTTCCCGGATATATCAAGCTCACTTACGGAAAGAAATGACTTCCGGTGGTTACCGGCATCAGTAAATAGATTCTCTCACGCCATTGCCAGCGACTAGCTAGCTGCAGTTAATAAATAAGAAGGGAAGGATGAAATCCGTGAATTTTCTATACGTAAACATAATTATATTATATTACATATAATTTTGAAAACCTTGTTAATTCGATGTCTTGAAAAGAGCATTCGCATTTATTTTGTCATTCTAATACGATTACTTTAAAATTTCATTTCTGTATCCCCCCTGATTTATTAATTTTACTTGATTATTTTGTCTAAAAACGGTAAAAATTGTATCTGGCATTTGGTTGCGGAAAAAAATATAAATTTATGGTAAGACCAGTATCTATTGTCTGATAAACATTGATAAGAATAAATTCAACGGTTCTTCAAAATAATTTTTTTTCGGAATATTTTCTCATTTGCAGTTATGTGAAAATATATCACCATCACCATAATCATTCCAACATTACAATCTGGTCATGAATCACTGCATTCAGCAGGAAATTGCTAATTAATTTAAGCCCCTGTCTCTAAAAATTGATTTCATTGATTCGAATATGTGCGTCACGTCCAACTCTTTTCCACTCTTATCAATTACGGGTGTGGTTGTTTCGAAACCTTGATATCTCCCTTCAAAACTGTTTTTTTTTTATTTCAAATGAAGAGAGTCTTAATAACAATGAATATCTTTATCTATAAAAAAATTGTCTCTTCAATTCTACTTGCTTTAAATTAGATTCATTTCAACGTAGTATCTAAGAGAAAACTGACAACTGAAAATTAGTGTATCTAAGTACGTATTTATAACATATTTTACCAATTTAATAACTAAATATTAGCTTAGGAATTATATAATAGTCGTCCCTAAAACGCGGATATAATAATGGGCTAATTATACTCATTGCCTTTTAACCTAAGGGACATGTGTGGGAAAGCAAACTAGGCCAAGTCTGTTTTCGACATCAGAAGATGTTTTGGTATTCAACTCATATCTGTTTAATGATAAACCAAGATTATTCTTGGTATTCTTGTGGAAAATGATCATAAAAACAGTAGAACTATTTCTTTGTAATTTATATTGTCTGAAAATTACTTCTTGAATATTTATTCATTTAATATTCATTAATTTATTCTTGAATAATTATTCATTTTGTTCATTTTGTTATTCATTCATTTGTTCACTTCTTTTGTTTCTGGACAAATGTTACTTCATTACATGCTTGTTTTGTTGACAAGAATTTATATTATTCGCCACGCGAAAGTACAACGCTGTGCTAGCAACAGTGCGTTGGTCACATTTTGGTAGAATTAGATGTTTTCAAGTATGGCTGAGATATGAGTGGCGCAAACAATGCAATATTTCAGTATTACGTAGCTCTTTCCTATAACGCAAGAAAATGTGTGCTGTTGAAGCACCACTAGTTTACTGGAATTAAGTCAAAATAAAAGCAGGCATTCAAGCAATTACCATGCAATTTCAAAACTATACTGATTAACTTGTCTCGACCTTTTCGTCATGAACATCGTAGCACACATAGCAGCGCTTTGATAAATCCCAATTCATATTTCACTCACCGCAATAGCATGGGGAAGAGGTGAACTATTATGTTGTACTAAGCAATGTTCGTGTTCAACGTTTGGCGTCAGGATACCCCGATTTCATTAAGAATTTTCACAATATTGTTAACATGTGCACTATTAATTGTTGTTAACATGTGCACTCTCATCCACTATTCGTATTCCAGACCATCATTCTCACTGCCCAAATCGTATCTGATCTACATTTGAAATGTGTTCTTCAACAATTTAGGGGGTAACTACTGCATAATTATGATTTGTGTCTATCATTATACTTTCATTCACACGGAATATACCATCATCAGAAAAATGCATTATTGTAAATGAAGATTCGTCATTTTTATATTCCCTTAAAACGAATTCACAGAGTTGAACCCACCTGTCGGTGTCATCTTCATTCAATTCGTGCACTCGAATCACTTTGGATTTTTGATTGATTAGATGTTCCGGGCGCGTCAACTACTAAGGTCATTCGTTTCGTAAGTGTAGTGCATGTTTTCCTTGGGAGCTGGCGGTGACCATCGCGTGCTGGATGGTAAGATCCGGCGCCTACCTACCGTCGCCTAACAGGGTTTCCCTTCAATCAGGTATCTTCCACTAGGACACCGCCCCCCCCCCCACGTAACAAACTCCCGGTTTTGCCCTGTGGCAATGTAGTGTATGTAAGTGCGTGCGTGCATGCGTGTGTGTGTGTGTGTGTGTAAGGGAGTTAGGATAGGACAAGGAACGGGAAGGAAACATCACCTGCGGTCCGTGGTCCGTTTGTTAGGGTATTGCTTGGGCATTCGCCTGGTACTAATCGGAGAAACTACGGAAATATACCGATCAGAGCAGCCGGTCGCTAGAATTCCCCTCCAGTGACATAACTCGACCTAGCTATCTAGCTAATGTGAAATTACTTCTACTGTCGGAACTCGAAACTAGGTTCTTCCAGACAGATGCACTGCAGTGACATCGGATGATGCAGTGAGTAAATCGGTTTGGAGATTTGGCACATCTCACACCTCAGTACTTGAGACAAACTGAATTGACTGAACACAAGTTCACCCGAACTCTGATGGGTTGATTTCTGGAGGTTATTCTCGAACCCTTCTCCATCTTTCAGTTGCGATTGAACGAAAATACTGCCAGGCCTTCGAGGAGGATTACATTTCTTAATGTTTTAAGTTGCCTTCCGTCGCTTTCTGCTCTTGCCCACAATCGTCGATACAAAATTTTACCGTTATGTTACGTAAAATCACGTCTCAACCATCTCACAGCCTCATGATCATTCTGCAATGCAACCGAGCATGCATCTACAGTAACATCCCGGTGCATATTCAGCACCCGTTTGGCTAACAATCAAAACGCAGATGGTTGGAGATCTTATATTTTTAAGAGTACCCTTGAATCATTTTCGTATCTTTAAGAATTATGATATTTAAGACTGCTCAAATAGCTAGCGTAATTGCGATTGATCCGTTACGTTACTGAAGATATTTAAGCACCATTTTTATGTAACATTCATCGTTTTAATTAGGTTGTGTTTAGGGGTCGTCCTTAAAGTACGTAATGCTGAAGAGGGGGGGGCGGAGAGTTACGCTGCTTTACATAGTGGCAGGGGGATAATAGTTGAGTTTTACGTGATGCTAATATTTGTTATAAAATCTATTAACTTTTGGTGAAATAATTAGTTTTATTCAGTTTTAGGCTAAAACATTTTTATCTCAACAAATGAAATTAAAAATGTAAGAAATGTAAGAAGTTATATTCTATAAATTGTTACAATAAATGAAAATATTTTTCATCAATGATATGTTGATTGAATCTTCTAGATTACAAAGAAAATATTCAAAACTGATATATTGTTTATCTATTGTAAAATACAAATAGTTGACGCAGTAAACTCGGAGCCTATGCATCATCCAATGGCGACATGTCCACGGTTTGTCAGGCATTTTCTGGCCTACCCGTCCTTCTTTCATTAAAATAATTGTCCCCAAACTTACTGGTATGCGCAGTCCGCACCACCAACTAATTCTCACGTTAGTTATGATAAATTTTAATGCACAGCACAAATACAATTAATACAACTCATTTGAGTACAATAAGTTATACTGAGTTTCACTTATTAGAATTGGGAGGGGGGGGGGCTTGTCGCAAGCGTTGTGTAATTTTTAAAGGGGATTTCAAGCGCGCGTTACAGGTGCGTTACAGGAGGGAGAGGGAGTTTTCAAAATATTCCAAATTTGCGTTACGTAATTTATGGACGACCTCTCACAAGAAGCCTGAATGCGAATCTCGTGCGTTTAATAAACACTAAAACAAATATTTTTAAAATAGTACTTATAAATCCTGTATTTCCAAGTATGTTTCTCTCGAAATAGAAAAAAGGAATAATAACTGACGATTAACCTAGTATCATAATCTGAAAACTATTTTATCTCTTTTAGTACAGAAATGAATGTATTCTGCTGTGCCTATTTATTCTTATTGTTCTGTTTAGCCTATTCTTCAACGAAAAATATGTACTATACATGGAAACTTCAGGGAGATTTATCAAGTGGCAATAGCAACACTCATAATCACGAAACACTCTCGAAATGTTATATAAAATTATATTTATCACTGAAGCATTTTTAAGAAATATAGATAATTCTATGAAATGATTATAATTATTAGATGATTATTTAATGTGAATATATTGTGAATGCGAGAACTTGAACAGAACACAATGCTAACAATCTCTTCAGAGACAGCTCCATCAGATAATTTTATTTTTGAGCAGGTGGCGTTCTGATAACTTTTACCCACTCGTGAATCTTTTCTCCTGCTTTCTAGAAAGATGTTAAAGTATTGGACACGAGAATAGTTTTCCGTGATATGATGCTTGTCGAGATTGCATTTTCTGGCATTAAAACTTTCTTCTAATAGTTGCAAGTATCCTTCGTTTCTTCTGCGAACCCTGAAGTTTCATAGATCATAAAATATAATTTGTGAAAATTAATCGCGTGGTTTATTGCATCGCAGAAATAGTCAATATAGTACGAGCACATAATCATAGTAGAAAACGAGAATTCTGACGTAGGGTAAAATGTTTCTAACAATGTATTCCTTCAGACTTAACTTCAATGTTTTTAAAGATGGTTGTTTTTACCTTAGTATGAAACAGACAAATGAATTAATATTTTTTAATTCAGCACGATCTTACTTTCAGTCTGGTGAATTAAGAAACAGGAAAATTATGCGATTACAATAAAGAAATAAGTAACATACACAAAACTGATAGTGTATTCATAGACAATTTGGTATAAAAATCCTACAGTGGGATTAGAAGGTATTCAGGGCTGCATAAGGGGTGGAAGGGGAGCCATTGTCAGCAAATATCTGTTCCATCAATGACCATGTTGAGTTCTCTGATACACAAAGGTTTTTGTACAATTGTTAAATGTACAACGCGAATTCTCTGACTACTTCCAGTTTTTTCATAACCTCATTTGCTATGCGCTTCGATATTTAATTTTTGCTTTCCTCTCAACACATTGTCTTTATTTTTATTTTATTTACTTATGTTTATTATTTCTTTTATTTTGATTTCCTAGTAATTACTTATTAAGCTTTACATTATTTTAATATTTAATATATTTAATTTACCTTTGCTTATTTTTCATGCAGAGTCTTCTTCATTCCAAATTACTTCACGCATTTCATTCATTCGAACACCCGGATTCAGCCTTCAGACTTCATCTCTTAAACAGCTACATAGGTCAAATCGAATCAGTTTCGTCAGCAGCCTGGTAGGAGGTGCAGATCTCCGATAACCCTGGATCTGAAGCATCTGAAGCAAGAAAGACCAAGTTCATCCAACCATGCTACTCGTGGTTGCTATTGTTACTGGAATTGACTGCAGTATTCGGTTCCTATGCCTGACTGTAAGAAGAATGTGGAAGTACATCTTTAAAGAATAATCGTGTGGTATGCTGAAAAATTCGAACGTAGTGTATTTAAAAACGGTAGTACTTAGTAATACAGTGGAAAAAATCAAAGTTAAAGGAATTTAGCTAGTCATGCACAAGTCTTCCACGCACTGAAGTACGTAACAGTGATCTCGTAGTTTCTGAAAACGGTGACTCGTTAAACAAATAATGTGCAAGTACTTTTCGTCATAACTCTATCAATCGATCTTCGCCCTCATTTCATAACGGAGAGAGAGTGCGAAGAGTATTTTCCTTCCTAAAAAGGTTCATTCGCAACCTGGAAATATGCGTTGACATTTTCTCACAAAACCCTTCTTAATCTCGAATCGCGATAAGACTTGATAAGACGTTTCCTTCACTGACATCTCAAGAAGCCTCCACTGTGCAGCGAGCCGTGGCATCGGGTGGGAGGCCCAGCGGGTCGAATTCCTCGCTCCGAGAATGGTCAGCCCTACTGCCGTCGACGACGTCAGCGAGACGAGCGTGACGGTGCCCCTGCACGACGCGAGCGATGACGAGAACGAGGAGGACATGGTGTGGTGCAAGGGCCACGCCTGCTCGCTGTTTGTGATGCTGGTGGTGCTGGGACTCGTGGTGTTCGGCCTGGCGCTGGCAGCCCATCTCGAAACCCTGTCGCGGTACGGGGACTCCCTGGACGCTGACACCGACCGCGCGCACCTCTTCAACTTTCAGCCGCGCTGCCCGAACGGAAAGATATATTTCCGGGGGTCGTGCAGGGACGTCCATTGACGCCCAGGTAGGAAACAATTTTACTCTTGAGAGCCTAGGCTTCCGCGGCCGGAGTCAGTACTTACTAGGCTGTCCGGGTGATGCCGCGTCCATGGCGAAGGTGCCGACGTTTCCGTCGCCATTCTGCGACCTTCGCCCTGAGGAAGGTCGCAGAATGGCGACCGAAACGTTGGCACCTTCGCCATGGACGCGGCGTCACCCGGACAGCCTAGTAAATACAATCTTACTCTTTCCTATACCTACGAAGTAATATACGTAGCAAAGAAAAAGCTATGTAATGCTGCGGCAAAACGGCGATTTTTCGAAAAACATGTGTTGTTGGTCCCTCATACAGAAAAAGTCAATAAATACTGTTCCAGTATCTAGTAAAACACTTCCTCCAACATGTAATGTTGTCATATTTCAAGAATTGTGGGTTCCTGACACCTTTTTTTTTCTTCAAAAGGTCTGTCCGTCCATCTATGAACAACACTAGCATTCAAAGTATGCGTAGGATATTTTCGAAACGGAATATCCCCAGTCTATCTGGTTGTTCTTTTTTGACCACGTGAAGGGAGGGGGGGGAATGTTTAACCCCGTGCACTTTGTGAGTTTCGCTCTGCTGTTACATTTATCGGTAATCTGCCAAACAATCTATTTTTCTGACTATTATATAAAGTTGTTAAAATCAATTTCAATTTCATTGATGCACAAGGAAAGTTCCATACCAAAAATTGTCATTTTGGAGAAGCACTGTTTTAATCTAAGTAGATAAGTTATTTAGTGGCTAAAGACTGAGCACCATTGTATACTCGCTACCTTGTAAGCTATGTAACGAGATTTTATGTAAAAAAATTGACCATTTCTTAATCATTTTTCATTTGGCCGAGGAACGACTATTTTCAAAATGTGTTTTATTTCTTGTACAGCCATGTCAGATTCTTTGATGATAATGATACTGATGCACTTTGTTAATTTATGTTGACCGGCAATGTGTTAGCATGATCCATTATTTCCGTTTATCTGCGTAATTACTAAATTAATCCCATTAAAGATATACGGAAGTTACCGTATGTGATAATAATGATCCAGGCTTATACAATTGTTTCATTGCTAATGCAGTCCAGAGCTCCTTCTTAATTATAATGAGTATGATAATTCAATAGAGAAATGGACACATTAAGAGAGTAACAGAACTCCCCAGTATATATGTTTTTCTTTTCCCTAAGAAAAAGTTTTATAAATGTAGCGAAGAGCTGATGATAAATGTTTTATAGAGTCAGGATTTTAGTTTCCTTGAACGGTAAGATTATTACTGTATCGTGTTGGGATTATCTTGGCAGAAGTGTTGTTCTCATAGATCTCTCAGTGTCATTGCTACCATCTTCTGTGCTACATATTGGTAACAGCACTTGTGTTTTACTTTCAAATTTTTATTTAATGAAAAATTTAAACGTAATGTTGTGCTTCACTACAACTTTTTTTAAACGTATATTTTACCCACATTTTCGAGTTTTATATGATTAATTCAATAACATTCGATTAGAATGGGGTAGTACTTTTTAAAATTTAAAGAAAGCTACCAGTAACCGATTGTCCACTTTCAATCGTGCCTATAAATATTTAGCGCAGATAACACAGAACAGGATGAGTAAAACAAGCAAGTAAAACTAGTGTTCTGATTTGGAAAACTATCGGTTTTGTCGGTAAAGAATCAAATATTTTATTTAATAAATCTAGTATAATGCGCTGTGCAGTTGTTTCCGTAACGAGTTTATTGCAACAAAATCTTCTCGTGTTATTTCTTGTAGAATAAAATATTAGAATATTAGGTCATATTCATTAAATTAATTAAACTATTCCACAATACTTAAGAACCCTAAAATAAGGATCTTGTGGAACAAAAAATCGTCCAAATATTATATACCTTGTTTTTCACTTTAGAAGGCTCTTAGTCACCCATCTCTCAAAGTCTGAGAGGCTGATATTGTAATAAAATCTTGTTACATATTTTCTGTGATGAAATAACGTGTGTCTGACGCAGTGATATTCAATAACTATTGTTTATTACTGTTCAATTAATGGAAGTAGTTACATTTTAAAAACTCCATATACTTTCTTCAAACTTACAAATGAACTTTGTAATAGGAGCAGTAAGAAAATTACTCGTTCTTAAAATAAAAGGAATTAGTAAGTAAACATTTTTTTCAAAAATCTGGTATGTTCAATTGGGATCAATTGTTTTAGCGTTAACATTATTTTTACTCTTAAATGTTGAATAATAATATTGTTCTTCATTTAATTGTGAAACACTGAATATTGAGAATAAGCTATAATACATTACTTGCTAAATTTAGAATTCCTACAGTAGTTCGTGTACCGCATGTACACATAGCGCAATACAATTACTCACGGGTATTACGTTTCTTATTTATTAACATCCGTAATTAACATGTTATGTTGTTTGTCCCTTTGAATGTCACTTACAGCTGCAAACATCCAAGAAATTTATTCTTTTGTTTGATTGAGTAGCCTGATTGTGTACTACGCAGTGAATGTAGGCCTGTTCTCCACTGTATATTAGTAAAAAACCCCAAATAACTAAATATTTTACACTATAAAAGTGGTTACAAGTTGAAATGAAGTCATTATTTTTTAAATTCATTGAATTAACAGTTCAATGTTGTCAACATTCCAAGTGATATTTGTTGCGTTCATACTGACAGCCGGTCTGATTTCTACGTACGTGTTCGTTTCATTTCTTTATCGCATATTTTAGAGATAATATTTTCACATTTCTTTGGTAATTTTGAATCATGATCTAAGACCAGGTTCGGGGGAATGTTAAGTGTATTTCAGATATGAATGGAATGCTTTGCGTGTTAACTCTAATTAGATAATACTAGATGAAAATTTTGTTCACTTTCGATAAGAATGAATAAATATTGCGTGTCGTCAGAATGTTACTTGCAAACTTTCATCCAGTATCTAATCTTGAATTTTGCCTTTGAGAGTGAGCACTACACATTCTTCTATTAAAAGGAATCCTCCTTCACATTTCCTCCTATTCAACATATAGTATAATATTCTTTAACGGGTTTATTTGATTATTTGCCTATTACTCCATATCAGTAATAAGTTTAAAACTGTAAAAGGGTGGAAGATGCCTCGAAGTTGGAGGTCGCGATCACAGTCGATGCATCGATGTCGTCGCACTTTAAATCAAACCTTCAGAGTTATTGTGAATACGCTTACGTGAATGCCGAGGATGCAGCGCGGTGTACTTGAACATCGAGTTCTGGGGGGACCTCGCGGTCTTTTCGTAATATTTCCGCATTTCCGTCGCTCCACCATGGTAGATATTGCCACGACTTCATCTTATTGGTTGACTTAGGAACACAGGGTCTTTTCTTCTCTCCGCAGTGGCTTTATAGCCTTCAAACGCCAATTGTAAATTAATTGCATTTCGTTTAAAGCCACGAACACTTGAGATTTTTTGCTAAGTTTGGATGAAGTTTTGATATTAATCAACAATAAATAACTAAATGAATAAATATATAAATAAATAAATTTCCAAAATAAAAATAAATAAATAAATAAATAAATATGGATAAATGAATATAATAAATGTATTAAATTTTTGATTGATAGCTGCTCAATAAATATTACGGCCTCGGTATGTTCGTCAGACATCCATTCAGATCTCGATATAAAACATCAAACACTACCACCGGAATCCAGGCATCGAAGTGGGTCCGTTTTATGTGTCATTTGATGAGAGTAGGAAATTGCATTTATTGTCCAGAAATGAATTAAGGAGCCTTTGCTCTGAAAAACAAACATCCTGTTAGATTTGGGAAGTCATCCAACCACAATGGACAGTACTTTTATAACATAATACCTTTCAACGTTCACCTTTTTGTTTGTTGTTAATAAGCAAAAATAATTAATTTTATTACTAACATCAATAACGTTTAACATTTCCTATATCGAAGGACTTAATGTACTGTATGTAACGTATACTTGTCCCCTAATACGTAATATATACTGTTTTTGACGATAAATATACTAAATAATATTAAATTCCAGTCTCATGCTCTCCTTTTTTTTCAGATGGCATCTCCTAGGCAGATCCTCATTTCGCCTTCTCTCATCTCTAAACATGATCTGAAAACACTTTTGTACATATATTTATTCTCTGTTAATAGTATCAGTTAATTGTATTATGTATATGCAAGTTATCATCTATTTATTATTGTAACTACTATTTATTCTAATAAAGGTTTTATACAACGCTCGTAACCATTGAAAGGAAACCTTTGAAAGATAACCCAGAGAACTCTTCCCTGTAATCTTTTATTTTAGTCAGATGGTTAAACACTCTTTACTTCTTTCATCACCGACGGGTGTTAAAAAAAGTTACTTGAACTCAAAGACTATATAAAGGTTCTAATGATCGAGCGGCATTTTGCTGTCGCACTTTCTTGTCTATCATTAGAATTAGATGACGCCAGTGCTACTCGAAAATTTTTATTATTTATCTGATTTTTGTTACTAGTATTTACTAATTTCCTATTTAACGATGTCTTAACTTCATTCAGACTGTCCTTATACATTCCCCTCTCATAATTTCCTTTCATTATTCCCCCATAAGAGAAGATGTAACATCGTCAACTGTTTTCTTATTTCCCTCGTAATCACAATCCTCTCGATTCAGGAAATTTATGCAGTGTTATCGATCTCCTTATCTATGGCAATAACATGAAATAACGTATCAGTAAAAAATGCACGTTATCATTTCTTCTGCGTATCCTCGCACGTATACTTTTACCGAGTGTATACTAAGTGTGCGGGTCGGTTGTCTTCTAATCCGCTCCCACCAGTTCAAAAAGTTTATATTACAGCTCAAAGAATGCGCTGTTGTGCAGGGTTGCATTACAAACGACTGTTAATGTCTGCTAACAATTTGATCTAACATGTGGATTGTAGGAATTTATAATTGGTGTGGTTAGACTATTTTGCTTCGTAGATGATTTCAAGTAATTAGTAAAATCCAGTATGTGTGGGAGATATTTAGAATTAACTTAACTTAGCCATATCATTTTCATACTGAAATGTGTTTCATACAAGAGAAAATTATCTACGTTAAAAATTTCATCTAGTGACTGTCTTGAAGTTCATTTCAGCAGGTAAAGTAGCCCATAAATTACAATTTCTCATTCTCGGAAACACTCCACACATTGTTTTTACGAACACGCCTAATGATTGGTCTAACTTTCTCAGAGGCCGGGTTTAACGTAATAAAACATTCAATGACTCAGTGCAAAGCGAACATATTGTCCTCTCTTCTTGGCCACCACTCAATTCTTCTTTTATTACCTAAAGCATTTTCAAACTACATTGAGGTTGGCTAATCACAGTTTAAATAAATATATTGTTTTTTCTTTTGGTCTATTATATTTTGGTATATTATATTTTGATTTTCTAAATAAATCCTTCTGTCGTCTAGTAAGTAGCGTTTTATCTTTTTCGTAATACGGAAATTTCGTAATATGGAAGGATATAATTATTCAATCATCCATATTTATAACTATGGCCTCTTTCCATATCTTGTGGTATGGATTACCTCGATATGGAGCTGCTGACATACAAAATATACACAGACATACAGGAGTATTTACATACAAAATACAATTTATCTTTCTTTGTGACCAATTCACAAATTACTTGCTAAATCAGATTATTCCTTTGTTCCTGAAATGTGACTTTGGTGTTTTCGAGGTTGAACATTTCTTTTCAGAGATACATGTGGTTGCTGGTAATATGGCAGAAAAAAATTAATATATTTGGATACAGGTATAGTTTCCCATTGTGAGAGTATCATTTGCACATTATGGTAAATTTGAGTATTTTGTTTCCCGGTACATTACACACTTTTCAAATTCACTTTGCAGTAAAGACTACCTTTTTCGTCTGAAAATTTAGAGGTGATACAATCTAAGAGAAGAATAGCAGCAAACGTGGAAGACATTTTCTGGATAGTCAGTTGAAAAATTAATATGAAATCTTTGAATCAATTTTCGTACACGAACCTCTAAGACTACAGATTTTTTTCAAAAGTGCTCGAAAGCTCTTGCTCAATACTCATGCGAGCATTTTCAACACATTGAATAACAATATCAACGTCGTGAGCTGCTGATTTCATAACTTCATGAGATTCAGTGTTATACCTAAAATCAGTTTAGATCACAAAACGTTTGCAAAGAAAGAAAGATGACAGACAATATACTTGAACAATGGATTTAAGTACAAGATAACTTTAAATGAAGTTTCAACGTCTCTATCATTGCCCAACAATGCTCATGGTTCTATGACAGTCTTAAAATGTTCATTAATTTCAAAATACGTTTCATTTTCAAAACATCTTTACTGTCGTATTGCTGACATTTTCCGTCATGAAGTCATCTTGACATTGGATTTTTTTGTGCTTGTAATGGTTTGGTCCTAAAACCGCTGGAATAGATTTTACAGTTCTCTTGTAATTTCTAAGTGATTATTTTGCAGGAATTGCCCAATACCAAATTCTCTCAGTGCTAATTTCAATAAACATAAGCACCAAGAAAGAGTTTTCAGATTACTTCTAGAATTAGAAAGGTCTTTGAAAGATCATTTCATTACAATTTCACAATCACATTCCTTTCTCAATATGTTACTGCCTTTAATACGAAGGTAAAGAAGAGTATTTTATTATGATCGCTACATTCTGACAATTTCCAGTTCTCCCCTCCTCGGACAAAACACAACTGCATAATGGCACAAACGTTTTTCGTAAAAGTTAGTTTCCTCTCCTCTGGAGTCGGAGCTAGCTGAATGGTGTTGCCACACCCTCTCCCCAGCAGCCATGTACGTGCACATAAATAACCTACCAGATCATCTCGGGGTACCTACTGCTCCACTGAAGGCGTTCCAGTGAAGAGCCTACTCGTTGCAGAATACCCTGGCTGTCCCAGTTTCTTCTGCCCACATGCTTCCTCACATGGATGGGGGGGG